GTGTTGGGGCAGGGGGGGTGATGTGGGGTGGGATCCACTGGGTGGGATCTGCTGGGTGTGATTTGCAGGGTGGGTGATGTGGGGTGGGATCTATGGGGTGGGATCTGTGGTGTAAGTGATGTAGGGTGGGATCCGTGGGGTGGATGATGTGGAGTGGGATCCGCAGGGTGGATCTTCAGTGTGGGATCTGTGGGGGGCAATTTGCAGGGTGGGTGATGTGGGGTGGGATCTGCGAGGTGGAATCAGTGGGGTGGAATCTGTGGGGTGGAATCTGTGGGGTGGAAGCTGTGGGGTGGGATCTGCTGGGTGTGATTTGCAAGGTGGGTGATGTGGAGTGGGATCCGCAGGGTGGATCTTCAGTCTGGGATCTGTGGGGTGCCATTTGCAGGGTGGGTGATGTGGGGTGGGATCTGCAGTGTGGGATCTGCTGGGTGGGATCCACTGGGTGGGATCTGCAGTGTGGGATCCACTGGGTGGGATCCCCTGGGGGGGTGATGTACTGGGCACCCCCCATGTACTCCCCTCTCCTCCCTTCTTTTCTCCTGTTTTCAATTTCAACACAGCTCAGTGAGCAGTTGTTATTTCTTTATGGGGTTGGTGGGATGATGCTCGTTGATTTACAGAGAGGAAAAGTTTCTTAGATGGGGATCCCCAAGTGAAGCTCCTTGCTGTCCCCCCTGGCCAAGGCAGAGCCTGTCCTGTGCTCCTGGTTAGGAGGGATGATGTCAGGCAAGCTCGACCCAGTAGAGACAGGGAAATGCTGCTGGAACCAAATGAAAGACTGACCTCTCCCCCTTTACCAAAAATGGGGACAATCCCGTGCCCCCAGGGTCTGTGAAAACCCTCACCCTTTTGGTTTCTGTGCCCCACAGCCCCAGTGAGGAGCCAGGGAGCCCCCAGCAGCACAAGCCCAAACAGGTGAGACAAAATCCTTCCCCTCCATCCCATGTGCCACCATCCCATGCCGTGGCTGTCCCCAAGGGCTGGGGGACATCAGAGACCCTCAAACCCCAGAGTCCACACCAAGGCCAATTTGGGGCTGCTCTATTGGGGTGCTGCAGCCTGTGAGGGCATGAGATTTTTGGGAACCCCCTCCAGAGCAGGTGGGTCGAGACAATTCCACAGCCCTCCCTTCTTTGTGCATCCTCCTGAACGCCCCCCTCACTCTGAAGCACCCCGTGAGGAGGGTTCCTGGTTCTTAGATAACAGTTTAATTAAGCCCCTCAGTTAAGCTGTAAACTGTGACTCACTTTCCCCAGGCCATGACCCTGAAAGCCAGACCCCCCTTCCCTGCCTTTCAGAGCAGCCCCCAGGTGCCCCCGAGCCTTGGAAGGGTCTCAGCAGCAATTTCGTCCCCCACCCAATTTAATTTTTAATCAGCAGCTCCTCCTTGAAGGGCTTTGTTAAGTAAGGGAGTGGTTGCCCACCCTGCAGCTTCTTAAGGGATTAGGGGGTGCAAAGGAGATTTTCTGTGTGAGCTCATGACACGGAAGAAAGCAGCCAGTTCCTAGCTTCACCATGGAGCCCCCAGCTCCCCCTCCCCGAATTCACAGTCCTGGAATAGCACAGGGATCCATCAGGATCCCACTTTTTGCAAACCACCTTCACACACTGTCCTGGAGCAGGAGGGAGAAGCAGGGCAGGACTGATCTCCTGCGAGGGGGAAGATGCTCTGCTGGGCAGTGGAAGCCTCAGTGCACCTGGATTTGCTGAGATCACTTTCTGAGAGCCCTGAGCTGACACCCACTCCCTGAACACCTCCTGCCCAGAGCCAGGTGCTGACCCACATACTCTGTATTTGGTAAATCTGGGTTATTTATAGTCCCAGCTAACCAGGATTAGGTGTGCTGTGCCTAATCCTCCTGCTTCCCTGCTCCTGCTGACCTCCTTGCCATCCACAGGAGCCTCTTGTGGGTGTGAGAGCAGATGGAGGTGAGAGTCCAGGCTGTCTGCCCCTCCCTGTGTCCCCTGTCCCAGCTCAGGTGCCCAGTGAGGCCACCAGTGCCCAGAGTGGCTCTCAGCCAGGGTCCCCGTGGCCACAGTGAGATTTGTCCCTCTGTGCTGGCATGGTGTCACAGCAGCTCCATCATCACATCCCTCATCTCCAGGGCTGTCCCAGGGCAGGTGTTCTGTCTGTCTGTCTGTCTGTCTGCTAACAGACCTTTCTGTTTTCCTCCCTCTGCCTTCCTCGGGGGGTGCCCCATGGTAAGTCACACTTTGGAAGGTGTCAGTGTGTGGGCCAGGGAAAAGCCTGGCTGTATTTCTGAAAGGAACCTGACTGAGCAGGGGTTCCCTGTAAAGGGAAAAGGTGTTTAAGGCTGGCACCACCTCTGCAGCACCGTCCATGAGGGCAGAAGCTGAAGAAGAAGAGGCAGGAGCCCGGGCTGGAGCCCGAAGCCAAACCACGGCGGCCACGGGTGAAGAAGCTGAGTGAGGCAGGAGCTGCAGAGGAGCCTCCAGCCCCGGCACAGGGTGAGCACAGATCCCCCCACGGAAATGGGGGGAAATGGGGGGAAATGGGGGTGCCCCACCCTGCACCTGAGGCCCTCTCTCATGGGCATCTCTTCAAATACGCAGGGGTGAAGAAGGTGAGGAAGAAGAAGGAGGAGAAGGGGGAGGAGGAGAGCGACAAGGACCCCTCCTCCAAATTCACCAAGGAGCCTCGGAAGAAGAAGGAAAGCCTGGCTCCTCGCTCCCAGGTGCCCAAGGGCTCCAAGAAGCCACAAGGTGCGGGGGCAACACCCACCCCTCTGCAGGCACTCGTTCGTGTCCCCTCCTGTCCCTTCGTGTCCCCCTGTACCGGGTCCCGACAGCGCTGTCGGTGCTCCCAGCGCCCGCTGGGGCTCTGCACATCCCCGGCAGAGCTTTTTGCCTCAAACCCATCTACGGAGCCGGGAGAAACGGGGATGTGGCAGCGGAGCTGCGCTCATTGCCCCGCTCGGGGAGCTGGTACCGAGGGGCCAGAGGGGTGACACACTCCCTGGGTGGGTGACACCGAGCTCCTCGGACCCTCCTCGGGAGCGAACAGCGGCTCGGATGGGCTCGGCTCGGCTGCGGCCGCGAGAGAGCGCTGTGGCTGTGGCTGTGGCTGTGGCTGTGGCTGTGGCTGTGGCTGTGCCTGTGGCTGTGCCTGTGCCTGTGCCTGTGGCTGTGCCTGTGGCCGGGCTGTGGCTGTGCCTGTGGCTGTGCCTGTGGCTGTGGCTGTGCCTGTGCCTGTGCCTGTGGCTGTGCCTGTGCCTGTGCCTGTGCCTGTGGCCGGGCTGTGCCTGTGCCTGTGCCTGTGGCTGTGCCTGTGCCTGTGCCTGTGCCTGTGCCTGTGCCTGTGCCTGTGCCTGTGGCTGTGCCTGTGCCTGTGGCTGTGGCTGTGGCTGTGGCTGTGCCTGTGCCTGTGCCTGTGCCTGTGCCTGTGCCTGTGGCTGTGCCTGTGGCTGTGGCCGGGCTGTGCCTGTGCCTGTGGCTGTGCCTGTGGCTGTGGCTGTGGCTGTGCCTGTGGCTGTGCCTGTGGCTGTGGCTGTGGCTGTGGCTGTGGCTGTGGCTGTGCCTGTGCCTGTGCCTGTGGCTGTGCCTGTGCCTGTGGCTGTGGCAGTGCCTGTGGCTGTGCCTGTGCCTGTGCCTGTGCCTGTGGCAGTGCCTGTGCCTGTGGCTGTGCCTGTGCCTGTGCCTGTGCCTGTGCCTGTGGCTGTGGCTGTGGCTGTGGCTGTGCCTGTGCCTGTGCCTGTGCCTGTGCCTGTGCCTGTGGCTGTGGCCGGGCTGTGCCTGTGCCTGTGGCTGTGCCTGTGGCTGTGGCTGTGGCTGTGCCTGTGGCTGTGCCTGTGCCTGTGCCTGTGGCTGTGGCTGTGCCTGTGGCTGTGGCTGTGCCTGTGCCTGTGCCTGTGGCTGTGCCTGTGCCTGTGCCTGTGGCTGTGGCTGTGGCTGTGGCTGTGCCTGTGCCTGTGGCTGTGGCTGTGGCTGTGGCTGTGCCTGTGGCTGTGGCTGTGGCTGTGGCTGTGCCTGTGCCTGTGCCTGTGGCTGTGCCTGTGGCTGTGCCTGTGCCTGTGCCTGTGGCTGTGCCTGTGGCTGTGGCTGTGCCTGTGCCTGTGCCTGTGGCTGTGGCTGTGGCTGTGGCTGTGCCTGTGCCTGTGCCTGTGCCTGTGCCTGTGCCTGTGCCTGTGGCTGTGCCTGTGCCTGTGGCTGTGCCTGTGGCCGTGGCTGTGCCTGTGGCTGTGGCTGTGCCTGTGCCTGTGCCTGTGCCTGTGCCTGTGGCTGTGCCTGTGCCTGTGGCTGTGGCTGTGCCTGTGGCTGTGCCTGCGGCTGTGCCTGCGGCTGTGCCTGTGCCTGTGCCTGTGCCTGTGCCTGTGGCCAGGCTGTGCCTGTGCCTGTGCCTGTGGCTGTGCCTGTGGCTGTGCCTGTGCCTGTGCCTGTGCCTGTGCCTGTGCCTGTGGCTGCCGTGCCCGGCGCTGGACACGGCCCCAGCCCCGCCGGACCCCGGGGGGACAGCAGGACCCCGGCCACCAGCCCTGGAGACAGCAGGAGGGTCCGGTCAGCATCCCTGGGCACAGCAGAGGGCCGGTGCGTTGGCTGATGCCGCGGTCACCTCTGGGCAGAGCCGGCTGAGGATGAGGATGAGGATGATGAGGAAGAGGAGGAAGAGGTGGAGAATAAAAACCCGCCCAAAAAGCTCAAGAAGAAGGTTCCCAAAGAGCCCCTCTCAGGCGGGGGGGAGAAGAAGCTGAAGCCCAAGGGTGAGTGCCCAGGGATGGCTTAAGCCCAGCTCTGGGATCTGTCCTTGCTGGGACCAGGGAGGTGCCTTCACTGCCCCGGGAGGCTCAGGGGGCTGCAGAGCCATCGCCCCCTCCCCAGGCGATCCCCCCCCAGCTCAGCCCTTTCTGCTGCTCCAATCCTGCCCCCTCCTTGTCCCCATCACTGCCCGTTCCCATCCCCCTGGCTGGCTGCTCATCAGCTCCTCTGTCCCAGCAGAAGACAAGAGTGACGCTGACAGCAAAGCCAAATCTGCCAAAAGCACCAAGAAGGAGCCAATGTCCGTGTTCCAGGTGAAGAAGGAGAAGAAAAGCAAGAAGAAAGGTATGGGATGATCAGGAGGAGGTGGCAGCCAGTCCTGCTGCCTGATGGCATCACCCTGAGCCCACAGCCCCCAGTGTTGTGTGACCATGTCCCCTTATGTCCCCCTGTCCCTCACAGCTGCCACCAGCAGTGATGAGGAGGATGATTCCGACTCCAGCACCAAACCCATTAGGTCAGAGAAGAAGAAAAGCCCAGCATCCCTCTTTCAGACTGGTGGGGACCCCCCAAAAGAGAAAAAATCCAAAAAGAAAGGTGAGAGCCTGGCACTGGAGGGTGGTGGGTTCTGGTGGGGCTTCTGGGGGTGCAGTGAGCTTGGCCATGGGGAGGGGGCTACAATCACTGATGTTGGCATGGGTCTATGCTGAGCTTGGTTTTGGGGCTCAGTAGAGTCAGGCTCTTCTCCCTTCTGTTTCCCTACCTGTTCCTGCCAGCAGCTCCTCCTAAAGGAGGTGAGAGTGAGGAGGAGACCCCAGAGACCCTGCAGAAAAACTCCAACAAGAAGGGGAAAGCAAAGAAATCAAAGAAGGTACGAAAGACCCCTGAGAGCCGTGGGGAACCCCTCAGGGCAGACCAGGGGGTTTGCAGCATCCCCCAGTGAGAGCCACCAGAGTGTCCCCAGAGCCACCGGCTGCAGAGCCATGGGGGATGGATAGCAAGGAGCAATGGGCTGGGGAGGGAGGGGGCTCTGGGGTCACCACCCCCTCTCACGCTGCAGCAGAAGGAGGAGAGGCCTCCGTCCCCTGTCATCGAGGTGGAAAACCTGGAGGAGTTTGTGCTGCAGCCGGCACCGCAGGGCGTGACCGTCAAGTGCCGGGTGACACGGGACAAGAAGGGCATGGACAGGGGGCTCTACCCCACCTACTACCTGCACTTGGACAATGACAAGAAGGTGATTTGGGGTGGGGGCGTGGAGACCCCTGGGGCTCTGCAGCCACCCCAGAGAGCACTCTCAGGGTTTGGGGGATGCTCGCCTGCATCCCGCTGTGCTGGTGAGTCCTGAATGGGGCTGCTCCCCTCTCCTGCAGTTCCTGTGGGTGGTGCCTGGGAGGGTGAGCTAACAGAGCTGGAGAGCCACTAAAGCTGGGCTTGGCTCAGCCCCTCCTGCCCTGTAATGCTGACAGCATTTTGGGGATCATCTTCGTGACTTGCTCAAGGTCATGGCAGTGACTTGTTGGGGGACAGCAGTGGTGATGGCAGTGACAATGTCCCATTCCCACATGGTCCCACTGCTCTACCAGGTGTTCCTCCTTGCTGGGAGAAAGCGTAAGAAGAGCAAAACCTCCAACTACCTCATCTCCATCGACCCCACTGACTTGTCACGGGGTGGAGAGAACTTCATCGGGAAGCTGAGGTAGGAGCAGAGCTGGCACCCCAGTTTGGTGACACCCCATTTCTGCAGCACCCTCTTCCCACTCCACGGCTTACAGGCTGTCCCAAGCTATGGCTGGCACAGACAGGAGGTTAAATTCAGCATTTCCCCCTGCTGTGTCTGACCTGAGGAGTGGTGGGGGGCTGAGAGGGGAAAACAAGCTTGGCCGGTTCCTCCCAGCAGACAGGTCATGGCTGGAAAAGGCACCTGGCAAGTCCCAGCCCGCACTGCCAGCAGCCACACAGCAATGCTGGGGGTCCCCGTGCTGGCAGCACCCTATCACACCCTGATTTGGGGGTTCCTTGAACCCAAGAAAACCACTGGAGAGTGGGAAGGTCGGCATTGGTGGGGAGCAGCACTGGGGGTTTGCAGCCGGACCAAAACCAAAGCTGTGCCTGGAGAGAGGTCACAGAGGGGGCAGAGGGGACTCAGCCACGGCCATGTCCCACCCTTGGCTGCAGATCCAACCTGATGGGAACGAGGTTCACCGTGTTCGACAACGGCGCCAACCCCGACAGGGCCAACGCCGACTGGTCCAACGTGAGGCAGGAGCTCTCGGCCGTGGTCTACGTAAGAGCAGCCACACAGGAGCCCCTTCCCGCCTCCCCCGGGCAGGCAGAGAGGGGCTCCCACCCTGCAGCCCTTCACTGGGGCTTGCAGATGTGTGGGATGGGCTGGAGCCACCCCCGAGCCCTTGTTCAGCCCCCATGAGAGGCTGAAACCCGCGGTGCTTGCTGGTTTTAAGGACAGGGTTTCTCTTGCAGGAGACCAACGTTTTAGGGTTCAAAGGCCCCAGGAAGATGACTGTCATCATCCCTGGGATGAATGCTGACTGTGAGAGGGTGCCCATCCGGCCCCGGAACGTAAGTCAGGGGCCAGACTGGCAGAAACTCCTTGGGAGCTGGGTTTGCTGGGCACCACCTTGGATTTTACCCATCTTGGGGCATGGAGAGGCTTTCAGGTCTCCCTGAAATTCAAGGTGCCCCTGGGAGGTGGGAGACATGGTGTCTGGCTTTTTTCCCCATGATAGATCCCATTTCCAGCTGGGTCCTGTTACAGAGCATCCCCCAGGATGCCACAGGAGGTGGCAGGGCTCCAGAGGGCTCACCCCAGCTCTGCTCCCCTCCCCAGGATAATGACGGCCTCCTGATGCGATGGCAGAACAGGAACATGGACAACGTGATCGAGCTGCACAACAAAGCCCCAGTGTGGAATGATGAGACCCAATCCTACGTCCTCAATTTCCACGGCCGGGTCACCCACGCCTCCGTCAAAAATTTCCAGATCGTGCACAGCAGTGACCGTAAGCTGGGACAGGGGATAGGGTGGAGGAGCACTGCCTCGTGAGCTGGCCCCAGCACCCACTTTTTTTTATTGAAGTTCAGTTTTTTTCATGCTCTGGAGTCCTGCCTGCCTTTGCTGGAGCTGGGATGAAGCCAGACAGGGCTCCCTGCAGGAGCTGCCCTTGGGCCCTGGCGCTGGCAGGGGCAGCGTGTGGGGCTCTGCCAGGCAGATTTAGGGCAGGGACAGATCCTGTGGGATGTTGAGCCCCCATCACACTGCAGCCACCCGCCCAGGCCAGAGCATTGTCCCCAGCACCCACTGCTGGGGTGCACTGCCTTGGGGACAGTCCCTCAGGGGTGGCAGCAGCTCTGCCTGGATGCCGCTGCTCGTCACCTGTCCGGCGCAGTCAGAAGCCCTTGGCCTCCAGGGTGTTGGGTTACGGGACAGAAAAAGCCTCTTGAGGGCCCCTGGTTATTTTTACAGATTTCCTGTCACCCGCCCTCCAGCAGCAGCCATCCCACGGCTGGGGGGGCGGAGTGAGTGGGGTCCCTGTCCCTTGGGGGGCTGTGGCACCCAGGGAAGGGGGTGCTGGAGGCACCAGAGGGTGCCATGGGAAAACGATGCTTTTTGGTGATCTGTGCTGCAGCACAGCACAGGAGCCACAGGCTGAGTTCGGGTGGGGGTGCGTGGGCAGCTCCTTTTGGCCTCTGCAGCGTGGGCTGGCCGGGCGCACAGGTGACAGCCTGGTGGCTCCCCTCTCTCTCTGCAGCTGACTACATCGTGATGCAGTTTGGGCGTGTGGCGGACGACGCCTTCACCATGGACTACAACTACCCCCTGTGCGCCGTGCAGGCCTTCGCCATCGCCCTCTCCAGCTTCGACGGGAAGCTGGCCTGCGAGTAGCGCTGGGAACACCCGGGCTGCCAGGGCCACCAGGGCCACCGGGACCACTGGGGCCACCAGGGCCACCAGGGCTGCTGCCAGTGCCCCGAGGATGCTCCTGCATCCCTGTCCTGCTCCGCTCCCTGCGTTTCCACCTTCCTGCAGTCTCGGCTCTTCCTGAGGTGGTTCCAGGCACCTGGTGCCCACTGAGTGCTGTGGGATGCTCACCCAGCTGCAGCCACGCTGCCTCTCCAGGCAAATTCGGGGCAAATCGCTGGGCTGGGGTGATGGCAGAGCCAGGCTGGAGTATATTCATATTCAGCAGATGAGGCTTACTGCAATCCCTGTCTCATCTCTTTGGACTCAGATCTTGGAAACTAATCTGCCCTCCCCCTGCTTTATTTTTTTGGGGTTGGTTTTTTTTTTTGTTTTTGTTTTTGGTTTTTTTGTCTGTTTTTGTTTGTTCTTTGGGGTTGTTTGTTTGTTTGTTATGGTTAATGCTCAGTCTCCCAATGAGAAGGGGGTAGGTGGTCTCCTCACTTTGTGTTTCCTCATCCCTGCCCACATGCAGGTGGGCTCTTCCTAAGCTCCCAGCTAAAGCCCCCCATCCCGGCTCATTGCTCTCCAGGCACCTCTTTTGCCCCATTTTGCCTTGTTGTGAGTGGATGGCTGGTGCCCATGGCGTGTTTGTACCCACTGGGTCTCACCTCACTGCCCAGAAATTGCTTTTTAGGGATTTGGGGCCCTAAGAAGCAGCCTGGCACCAGCAGCACACAGGCACGTGCCGAGGGGTGGCAGTGCCAGCAGAGGAGGGCTGGCAGGCACGTGAGGCAGAGCTTGCATTGCTGGCAGGTGGCCCAGCTGGGCCCGTGCTGCCAGGAGAGACCTGGAAGAGAAAACTCAGGGTGCACCAGGAAGCAGTGAGTGACTCATGAGGTGTGGCGCGGTGCTGAGTCATGCTCAGCACCCAGACGGGCCCTGCTGAGCTCCCCGTGCCCTCAACCCTCCCTGCCCCTTCACTCTGTGGTGCCCCTCCAGGCCTCCCGTGCCCCAGGTGTCCCCACAGGTGGTGCTCTCTGTTCATGAGAGGTGGTGGACAAAAGTTGCCATCCCCTGTCTCGGATTGATGGGGAGATGCTGAACAAAAGCAGCTCACTGGGAGCAGGACAACTCATGCCCCCAGTTCCACCAGTTATGGGGTGAGGATTTGGCTGCACAAACAAATCTGATTAATTCAGTGGTGAGAAAAATGGGGACATGCCAGAGAGCCCTGAAATGCCATCCTCAGCTCTGTGGTGCTGTTTCTCACCTGCTCAGCTCACACACTGACTCCAGAACCGTGTGGGATTCCCTTCCCAGGACACAAAGGGGTTGTTCCCCCATTCTGGGGGTGATATGAGCCCCCCAAGTCCATGCAGCTGAGAGGCAGCTGTGGCAGAAAGGCTGAGGAGCAGCTGGATGAGATGGATATGATTGTGCAAGAGGGATGCTCATCCTCTCTGGGCAGTGTCGCAACATCACCGTGGGCTGAGCCTGGAGCTGAGGACAGATGACAGTGACAGGGGCACCATGAGCTGCTGGACCACTGGTGAACATCTGCCCCAGTGGCTTTGCAGATGGGAGTGGAGCTCTTCCCCAGCTGTATGAATCTGTGCTTCATGATTCTTGGGCAGATGCTCGTGGTGGGGCAGGCAGAGGTGGACAGCTTGGGGACAAGCCAGCCTGCGTGGGACATCATCCATCACCCACACAGCCAGCTCAGAGAACATTTTGTGAGCTAAAGGGAGAACCAGCCACAGCAGTTCAGGGCCAGCATCCCTGACAAGGTATGGCCAGCAAATGTGGGGAGAGCAGGAGCTTTCTGCCCAAATCCAGCCACCAGCCCAACATCTGTTTGAAATCGGGACGAGCTCAGCTAATGGTTGAGCCAATGCTTGTCCCCATTTCCTCCAGTGCAAGGAGAAGAGAAGCAGCTGGGTGAGAGAGGGGGCTTTGGGCTCCCCACGTTCTGTCTGCTGTTATCCCAGCTGCTCCCCAGGTTGATTCTCCCTCCCCTCACCCAAAAAGCTTCCATTTTCCATTTGCCCACTGTTGCTTGCAAACCCTTCAGGTTTCCCTGGCCTGTCACCCGTGGCAGAGCAAAATCCCCATCACGGGTGTCCCTTGCAGTGTCACCCAAAGTGAGAGCAGCCGCTGCATCAGCCGCCCACCCCAAATCCCTTTTACAAACCCTCTAACGCAAACCAACTGTGGCAGAAGAAACAAACGAAAACAATTTAATGGGGCGATGGATGTTCGGGCCCTTTGTTTGCGCTGGCTGTTAACACCAGAGGAGATGAGGGATGGAAGCAGTTGAAATGTGGATCTGCTCTGGCCGGCGGAAAGTGTGACGGATGCGCCGGCAGACCAATGGCTGAGGATGCCGGGGTGTGCGTGGGTGTGAAAGGAATGCTTGCTGCAAGAAAAGATAAAAAAAAAAAAAAAAAAAGAAGAAGAAGAAAGAGCCTTATCAATGGTGTTTGAGTCCAAAGTGTGTGTATTCCTTGGAGAAAGGGTTTCCTCAATCCCCAGGGGTGATGTTTTCCCAGCAGTGGGAGACTTTGAGGTTTCTGAAGGTTCGTTTTAGGGATGCTGGCTTTGGGCTGGTGCTGTAGGCATGGATTTAACCCCACAAAGTGCTCATGCAGGGGCACAAGCGTGGCCAGAGGCGACTGTCGTCAGCTCCTCAAGGGAACCTCCTGGGAAATGAGTTTTATTTTTGCAGAGGTGCTTATAAGGCAAAGGGGAGGAAAAAATGAAGGCCCCACCTCGCTGCTGAACCCATCCCAGCCAGGACCAGTGTCCCTGCAGTGCTGATGGCTCTCTCTGTGGTTCATCCCCATCCTGTCCTGACGGGTGCAAAGACGCTGGTCCAGAGCTGAGCAGGAGGGTGGATGTGGGGGCTCCTCTCCAACCACTGGCTTCTCCATCTTTTGCAGATCCCTGGGGTTTGGGGGGCTCCATGCACCCAGCTCTGAGCCCTGCTCTCTTCGGGGGGCTGACAGATATTTCCATGTTCCAGGAGGCAAACGCCCCACTGGGAAGGCAGCCTGAGGAGGGAAGGGCTGGTACGTCCTGGGGAGTGTGGGAGGGGAGACCAGCACTGGGAAACTCCTTGTCCAGCAATGGAAGGGCTGGAGATGTTTGGTTCCCAGCGAGCTGCCATGGCCCCAGCCCTGGGAATCTCTCTCCAGCTTTCAAGTGGCAATACTTTAATTAAATAAAGAAGTGATTGCCATGAGGTGTTCTCTCTTCCCTCCCTCTCCCCTTCTATTTATTTGGTAACATTTTTTAGAGGGAAAGGCAGACTGATTGCTGGTTAGCTCAGCTGTGGCTTTGCAGGATGGGCTCCTTCTCGATGCAGCGAGCGACAGGCGGCAAAGCCAATATTTTTCAACTGCTTTTTAAAAGGAGTAATTTTTTAATTAGTGAATCCATTCTGGAGAAGTGTTGGAGTTTTACAATGTTGTAGCTGTTCTTGGTGTGTTGCCTAGACTTGGATGTTCTGGCCATAAGAAAATATTATTTATGGCGTTGCAGCTTGCAGCTCTTTTATATTATAATTTGAGAAAGGAAGTTGCTGTTCCCACCAGTGGACAAAAAAATAGCAGAGAAACAAGCACTATGGACTTCTGAAGGAGGAAAATAAATAAAAATTAAGAGGCAGAATGGAAACAAACCACTGAGCCAGCCTTGAATCTTTGCACCCCTGAACAAGCTCATCCCAGCATCGCCATCAGTTGTGCTGGATGCTGCAGCCAGACCCCTGCCCAAATGGCAAGGCCAGAGCAGCAGGGACCCCCTCAGCACTCCCCTGCTCAGTGTTACATGTGTTCCTAAACATTTGTGGATCAGGCTTTTTATTCATGGGCTAATGCACATTTGTTTGCTCATGCCTTACTCAGCCTAAACTCCTATTGAACTCAATTAAGGCTGTCATCTCCAGGAGCACTCAATGTCATTTTTGCCCAAGTAAGGGATGAGTAACGAGGCTCTGAACAGCCCTTGGAGAATAGCAGCCATTTTGTTGCAGTTTTTGGTCCAGATTTCTTACAAGTTAGCAGCAGGCCAAGGGTGGAAGAATGCGATATGGCTTTATGAATCACACACAATTGCTGAATGCGCTGGATGCTTCAGAGCCTGTCACTTCATGGGCTGAAGCATTGGCTGTCTTGTCCCAAAACGCTTGAATACAACCAAGCTCATGATGAAAATTAGAAAAATATGTTTCTGGAAGGAATGGGATGCAAAGAACATCCCTTCTCCCAGCAGGGCACTGGGAGGATTCCTCACCCTGATTTATCTCTGGGGGTTTTGGGTACTGTGGCACAGGCCTGTGGAGTCCCAGGGGGACTGGGGCTTTTGCCCCTTTTGGGGCTGCAGTTCCTGATGGTCAGGCTGGGTTGTGGCCAGGGATTTGTGTGTGATCAGCTTGCTGTGGCTTAGCACATTACCACCCATCAGCTCGCTCAGAGGAAGTGACCATGGTGTGGATCCTGGCTGAATTCCCTTGAGAAATCCCAACAGCGTGGGCTGAATTCCCATCCTGGGCACCATGGGGTGCGTGTCTGGGAGAAATGGGGAATCTGCAGATTGGTGGGATGCAGGGGACTGAGAGTGTGTATGTGTTTGTGTGTGAGGATGAGGAGAGGGATGGGGGTGTTTGGAGGAAGATGAAGATGTCAGGATGGGAAGGAAGAGGAGGATGAAGGTGTGTGACGGGGCATTACAGTGTGCAGAGGACAATGAAAATGTGTGGAAGGGGATGGAGGTGAGCACAGGGACACCGGTGAGTGAAGGGGGACGGGAATGAAGAGTGGGCACAGAGGGTGATGAAGATGCGCAGAAGGGGATGAAGGCGTGCACGGGTGACCCTGGCTGGCTGCGGACGGGACAGGACAAGACGCGACAGCAGCACCTTCATGCCCTGGCCCAAGGCCGCATTCCGGGAATGCCGGAGGGCGAAGGAGGAAGAGGAGGAA